AATTCGATGGTTGGGTTGTCAGCGTTAGTGATTTTGCAGCTGTGTTGTTTTCATTCGATGCCACTTTTAAGAGAAGGCATTTTATACCTCGATGGCCTTTCTCGGATTTGGTATTTTTAATGAGTTTATACGGTGGTGGCGGATCGATTACTGCGGTGCTTCTTTCGTGTCGCTCTTTAACGTGATTTGTGAGTTTTGCGAGTTGCGTTTCTAACTAGATTTTGCCTTCACTCTGTGCTGACTGGTTTTTGTTTTTGGAGATTGAAGTTGTCAGGGCCTTCTTCAGCTTCTGAATGCGTCTTCAAAGGAGTGATTTTTGGATGCTAGATGAGGCTTTAAGGATGGTGTATTGCTTATCCTGCAACGGTTAAGTGTTCTACTTTGCCTTATCACTTTCATTGCTAATGGTAGTGCTAATATCTGTATTTGAGATGTGGGAGTTGATTGTAACGTGTCGATTTGATATAAACTTACCTCTAGGATCCATTCGCCGTCTGTACTTGGCGTTTTATGGTCTCGTCTAATGGTCGTGAGATGGTTTGACTGTGAGTTGTTAGATGTATGATGAGATCAGCCAAAATCGTGGAGAGATTACGGTCATGTGTTGACTGTGCTCAGTTCATGTCATGGTACTGCCGTGCGATTGCATATCCGGTTTCAGTTCGTTCATTGTTTCACGTTAATCATCTGCGCAAATCAACCGTTGCCATTGTTATGCGTTGGTCAGGTGCTGGTCATGTGTCAAAAGGTGTATTGCGTAGTCTACCTGAGTGCTGCGCTCAGCTGTTAACAATGGTTGAGCACGGGTTCGTATAGGTTTACGTTAATTATTGGCCCGACCTTTACTAATGTGTGAAGAAATCCTTGAACAACTCAAACGAAGTTGTTTTAATGGATAGGTGTTGATCCTCTGGGATGTGGTCGCCGTAACACAAAAAGGTTGTCGCATTTTCGATTTTGCACTGCAATGAGTAGATATGACGGATGCGTTGAAGGCATTCGTGGGTGGGGATTTTGCCTTGGCTTTGTGTAAATGATGCTTGTATAAGAAGTACCAGTGTATGTGATGTGGATTCGATTCCTGTCTGCCTCATTTTGGGAAATTTTTGTTTGTACGGTGATTTGTGATGAGAACATTGTGTTTCTCTGTTTGAAATACAATTTTGCCTGGGTGAATAAACTGTTGCTTCATTGTGACGCTTGTATTAGGTGGTCAGATGTTTGTTGAGCGGTTCTCCGTTTGATCGACTGTCCATGGAATGAATGGTCGATGTGAAATGCATTCTCGTACCTCATACTCTCCGATTTGCTGCTTCAGGACTGGCAATTGGATTGCAATAGTGCCTGTTAAAGTGGGGTTTCTGAGGCAATGTAAGGGCTAATTTTGCTGCCCTCGAGAGTGGTCACAAGTTGGGCGTAGTGAGTAGTTATGGATTATGGATGTCAAGGTTTATAGAAGAGGCTGAATGAATTAGTGGCATTTTATTGAAGAACAGTTTTGAGGCGCCTACTGCTTGGCCATTGAAATTCTCGTTTGGTCGTGTTAGTTTTGTGAGTTGATTTTGTTGGAATGCTGCTTTGCGACTGATTTGTGGTCCAATTTGTTGATGCGCTTAAAATTTTGCATGTAAGTGTTAGTTGGACTGTCCTCGCTGCGTATGTAACTGGGGCAAATGTTTGTTTCTCTCTTGAGTAGGGGGTAGTGCACGCATTGGATTTGCTTCATTTGTATCCTTTTTCTGTTGCTTTTTGTTCTCATGCGTGCGCTTAGCGAAGTTGAAAGTCGGTCATGTTGGAGTGTGTCTTCAATTGCACTGGAGGCGGATGCTGGTTACTTGTTCAGCAGAATTGACGCCATCGAGGAGAGAGCGAAGACGATAGAGGATCGATCTTAGAGCTCGGAAACTGGAGCCTCCTGATGACGTGATGATGGAAAGTACGCTAGAGTGCTTAGAAGTAGGTAGGTAGTAGATGTACTTTAGTGAAATTGGCTTGCAGCTGCTTGCTGTGGGCCCGTTGAGGTGAAGTGATATGAAAGTGTGACACCCAGAGCACTGGTGAGTTGTTGGACAGCGTATAATGTTTTTCCCCCTAAATTTAAGATTTTTTAGAATGTTTATGCAGTAACTGGCTTGTGGCATTAAATTCTTTAGTGAATTTTTACATTTAGTCATTTGGACTAGGTATTTGATGAAGTGGGGACTGGTGAAGGGTGATTTGAGTATTGGATTTGTGATATTTTAGATGTGTATGCAGGTTTGTCAGTGTGTGACTAATAGTTTTCTTTAAAACGTATCGAGTGTGTGTTGAGAGGTGATGCTCAAGTGCCGGTGACTTGCTATGTTGATGGCGCTGCGCTTTGGTATGCTGTTTCTTCGTACTCTGATGAGTTGTCTCTGACACGCTAATGATTAGGGGAATGTTCGTTAGGCAGTCTTATTGTGAGAAAATGTGCTTAAAATAAGTAATTTTATTGCAGTGAAGTGGCACTAATTTCCAGGAAGAGGATTTTGGTGATCACAGAGTAAGAGAGTACTTGATAAATTTGGCCACGAAATGTCAGAGGCGGCTGGGGTACTCCATCGTCGGAGAATGGCAGGTCTCCGTCCCTCATCGTGCCCTGCGGGGGCAAAAGTGTTAGAATTAGAATTTGTTGGTGACAGTAATGACGATGAGGATGTCCTAACTTCGTGGTGAGTGGGGTAATTTCACTTCTTTCGTTGTATGTTTTTTCTTTGGAGTCATTTTGTGTACTTGTATGCATTTTCATGGATGGCGATAAAGTAGGTGGTGTTTACGATTGGTGATAGACCGGTCGTGGTGGTGCTTCTGTAGTTGTACGAAGCCGAAAGATAAACGCCTTTTTTCTACCAATGTTTTTGATTTGAATGCTCTGTACCCTAGTAACTTTTAATTTGCTCGTGGCAGCTTGAGTATGCCTTGGTAGTAATAAGGAGACGTATCTCGTCGGTGGTGGGGTTGGAAGATGTGATGTGGTTTTTGTAGTTGTACTTCGAATAACGCACTCTTTGCAGGTTGCATCGAGCTCGAGTTCTATGTACATAGTCTGAGCATTGTTCTCATATCCGTTTGCTTTTTCATCGGTTTGATGGTTGATAATGGATGGTTATTTGTTGAATCCCTTCATTTGTGCATTACAATAGAGGTTGCCCTGCTGCATTTGTGGCGACAGTTGATGCAACTTCTTTACCCACATGAACTCCAGTGAATTGGCAAGGCTGTGCGCGTTAAAAGAAATGGTCAGAGAGCAAGTTTGCTTTATTTATGTTGCATATTGAATGTAGGTGCATGTTTACGCATAAGTGGATGGATAGGTGGATGTGCGGTGTTGATGTTTGCGTTTGTGTGTTTTGAATGATTGAGCTTTTCTGTTTCAGCTGAGTGTTTGCCTTGGAAAGTCACTGGAGGAGTGTTTGAGGGGTGGATTAGCTTGGCAGTGATGGAGCCTGCCGCATTTGCGTCTGCAAGATGCAACGTGAGCTGCATCGGGTAAGTTACGTTGATGTTGCACACCGTGCCTTCAACTGTTACTTGCTACTTGACCCCACTTGAATATACTGTTTCCACAAAAGGCGTGCTCTCTACTTACTTTTTCCCTGTTTCTTCTTTATCGGTTTTCCCTTTCTTTTGTTGGGACAAAGAGAATTGAATTGGGATTACGTACTTTTAGGTTGGAATTGACTCATTTGTTGTGTCACCCAGGGCATTGATATCACGGGCCGTGGTGGTTTGATGGTGGGGACCCTTATTTGCTTGAATAGGGTGGATAGTTGCCATTGTGTCGGTGCTCGTGGGAGTTATTGGGCATGAGAAACAGGGTGAGCGGAATGGCTATTAGTCGGTGGAAGGCGTTTGTGCGGTGGAATTGCGTAGTCAGTGATGTGTTACAAGAGTCCCAGTTACTCGACTTTGACCGTTCATCGTTGTCTGCAGTCCATTTGATATACGGTTTGCAACGTTTTGTTGTTTGTTTCATCAATTGGAGATGTTTAGAGTGGGTGCGTTTGGGGGAGGGATGCACTTGTCGGAGACTGCGGTTTTGAGCACGTCGTTAAGGGTAGCTGGTTGGCTCTGGGGAGGCCATGGACCATTCGTCGGTTGTGTTCATCTTTCCTATCCTGAAGTTCTTTCAGGAGGTAGTTGAGTTGATCTTTCCCATTGTAAGATCCAGGGTTGCTGGGTTAAGGTGTGATCAGTTTGTGGGAACTAATAATAAGTCGGTTCGCCTGTTGGTTGGCGTGCAGTTAGCTTTTGCGGCTCACTGTCGTTTGTATATGTCGGCTATTCAATTCCGCCGCGTGCCGTTTTGATGGCATTCGCTATACTCGATGGGTTAGAGTGGGTTTTTGCAGAAACTAAAATTGCACCTCCCTGTTTTACTGATAAGATTGGTGTGTGATTCAGCGTCTACCTTAAAGTTGGGAATTGGTGCATCTTCGACTGTTAGACACATTCTCACACCCCCCTACGTAATTATGGTGGTTTCACTGTTTCGGTTGAATGAAGACCCAGTGACGGTTTCTGCCGGGTTGTTGCCTCGGCAGCATTCACTAGGCTGTGTTCCAGCGTTACTTTCATGTTTCTTATTACTTCACCTTTACTAAAGTGAGTTGTGATGTAATAAGAAATGGGTTTTGTGACGTTGAGTTAAATGACGTGATGATGATGAAATTGCAGACTGGAGTGCTGAAACGTTGAATGGAAAGTTTGCACTATATGTTCAGCTGAGATGGGTAACTATGGCAAGATGGGTTTAGTATCAGCATGTTTATTTGTCTGGAATGGCATCGAAGTGTTTTCGAGCCAGAAGTTTTCATATAAAACAGTCTGTGCGTTCATCTGAAGAGATAAATGGGGACTGAATGGGAGTCCAAAGCAAGGCGACTTGGTGTCCATGCTGCGTAGACCGTGAAAGGCACTGACCGGTGGGGTTATTTTGAGTGCTGTTGAATCGCCGGTTAGTAGACGGGAATTGGTTAAACAACAACATTGTTCCATAGGGTGGAGTCCGGCTCGAGGTGAAGGGCTACCAAGTAGGATGAGATTCTTCGCTACGGCGGAAGAACTGAAGAAGGAATGCTGGTGCGTTGTCTACATGCTTCCTAATCGACTTCTACTATGCTTTTGTAAATGTGGGAAGAGGAAGCAGCGTGGAGGAGAAAAAACACCATACTGTGAAAGAACTACTTGACAGTGATCAGTTGGTCAAATCGCTTGTCTGATTTGTGCATTCATTTCTAGTCGATTGGGTGGTTTTGCGTCAAGTGTGAATAGAGGCCCTGGTCCTCTTAAGAGGGTTACACTTTTGAGGCGCAGACTGGTAGAGCCTGGGCTGGGTATCAGCAAGTTTTACTTTTTGTTTGAATTCAGGAATGTGATTCTGTTTTCCACCGAGGGGATAATATGCCTCTTAACGATTATCGGACAGATGCTATGTCGACGGCGTTTAACGCGCATTTGATGATGTGTGTTGGTCTAGGCTTAAAACCTTTCCACGAAGAAGCACTTGGGACTGGGATCTTTCACTATTTGCCATTGGACTGAATGGACAACCTGGACGCATTCTTACACTGTCTTATTTGGTAATTGTGGAAGACACACTTCCACAGGTTGCGCTTATTACTCCCCTTGAATGTGTGTCTACTGCAGGACAATCCCGGTTGCTCACTCTGCCATTTCCCTTTCCGTAAGTGGTTGCACCAACATAATTCTGATTCTTGTGGGAGCTCATCCGATGCAGGTTGTGGATGAATATCCGAAGTGAAGTGAATCTCCCTCTCCTTCTAAGGTGAGTCCGCCATATGCTGTGGACCCTTGACTTCGAAATGCGATGACGCACTGCTCGCGAATTTATCTGACGTGGATTTGCTGTGCTGGAAGAGTTGAGAGGATGTG